ATGTTCCTGGATTTTTCATCTTGTTCCATCAATCTATTTGTCTGTTCTGTTGTCAGGAGTACACTGCCTGGATTACTGCATTGTATTTATTTATTTATTGGGCAGTGCAGAGGTCAGCTTTATTCTTAATTATTTCAAACCAAACCCAAAATGAGTAGAAGGAGAGAAGTGATAAATAAATAGAGACCAGAAGAATAATACAAAGAATCAATGAAACAAAGAATTGGTTATTTGAAAAAGTAAAAACTGACAGATCTTTAGCTAAGTTAATCAAAAGATAAAGAATACCCAAATAAGTGAAACTAGAGTGAAAAGGGAGACATTGCAACAGATACTACAACTGAAATTCAAAGGATCACATAGGTATTTTTATGATCAAAATACCTGTCATAAACAACTTAGAGGAAGAACAGTTTATTTTGGTTCACAGTTGCATAGATTTCAGTCCATGCTCAGCCACTCCATTACTTTAGGCCTGAGGTGATGCAGAACGTCTGTCCACCTGCTGGCAGCCATGAAGGAGAGGGATAGTGCCGCAGTCTGGCTGGGCAAAATAACGGGGGGGGGGGGGGGGAAGACAAGTAACTTTTGGAGGTCGATACAGCGGGAGCCGCTTTATTACAGGACACAGAAGTATATATACCCAACTAATTACACATCATTATATCTAATTAACATCATTATATCTTAATTAACATCATTAGATACAGCAGTCAGTCATTAAGGAATCCTCATCATCCTAATGGCTTGTTGGTGTTACTTCACAAACCACTCCCTCTGGCAAAGTGCCAGGCGCCATCTCGACTTTTTTACGGACCCTAACAGGAGAGAGAGAGAAGGGGAAAAAATAACCTTCCAGGGGCACACCCCCAGTGATGGACTTCTTCCATTTAGATATTATTTCCTGCAGTTTGTACTACCTCCTCATATTGCCATCAGATTATGAATCTATCAATGGATTAATCCACTTATGAGGTCAGAACCCATGATCCAATCACATTCCCAAAGACAAAGGCCCCACTTCTTAACATCGCTGCATTGGGGATCAAACCTTAAACACATGAGCCTTTGGAGAACATTCCAAATCCAAACCATAACAAGTGCAGAATAGAGATCCCAGAAATGAACCAGCTAACTAATTCTTGATTTTATAATTTAATTTCACATTTTATTCTCATTGTTGGTAGAGAAAGGAAGAAATTATCAGTTACACTACTGTATTATTCTGTTGTTTTTCAGACAGAATTAGGATCCAGATTCTAATTGTTTTAATTGAGGATATGGATCAGAGTCAGAAAAGGTCAACCACAGCTGTTTTGGATTGGGGGCTCCTGTGAAAATGGAAGAAGCAGGATGGGGATTGCCCTTGGAGAGTTCATGTTCTAGGGCTCCCATCCAGATATCTGAGGATCTCCATGAAGGTCACAGGAGCTCTTCAAAGGGAATGGGGATGTCATAGTCCTGTATATGGTACTCAGCAAGTGGGAGGTCAGCATCATCTTTACAAAAAGGACCTGAGAGGCCCTGTTGTCCTTTTATCTATATCCCAGGTCCTGTGTAGCTCCTCTCCGTAAGAACAAGGCAGTGGTTCATTCTTTGGTCTTGTTGGCTTCATGGATAGTCTGGGATAGATAGATCCTACAAACTTATTAGTGTAGGGGAATATTTTTTCCAACTCTTCTTTATACCTCTCTGATTAAGATACTGAGCAGTTGCTTTTGACACTACAAGATTTTTATCCCTCACTCTGAGGTACATTTCACATTCAGGAAATTCCCATTCTTATATAAATTATGCTCCATTTTTGTATAAATATGTCAAAATATGCTCTACATGTATATCTAAAAAGATCAATAAAATTTTTAAAAAATGCCAACTCTTGCAGGAAACTCCAGATTTCCTGGTCACTTCACATTTTAACTAGCCTGAGAGCCTTCCTGGTTCCTGTTCCCCCCCATCCCTCCTTTAGTACCTGGGTATTTCTGGAAATTTCATTCTAAAGAGCTGCTTTCTCCATTTTTATTCCTGAGTTCTCCTGGGATTCTTTTCACTGCAGTCACAGGGCCTGTTTTGAGGTTTACAGAGAATTAGAACTTATTTTGCCTTAATGGAAACCAGGCGATTCAAGAGGTACTTGAGTATTGAAATATGTTCACTCCTCTCAGCTTCTGGCAGTCTGTCTAGCCCACTGATTCTTGACAGAGGTACCAAAAACATACATTGGAGAGGAAGCCTTATCAACAAATGGTGGTAGGTATCCACGTGTAGAAGATTGAAACTAGACCCATCTATTATCTACAAAAATCAACTCAAAATGAATCAAAGGCCTTAATCTAAGACCTGAAAATTTGAAACTACTAGAAGAAAACAGGGGAAACACTTCAAGATAGTAGCATAGGCAGTGTTTTCCTGGATAGGACTCCAGCATTTCAGGGAACAAAAGCAAGGATTGACAAATGAGAGTACATCAAATTTAAAAGCTTCTGCATTGCAAAGGAAACAACAGAGCAAAGGAGTTTATAGTAGGAGAAAATATTTTCCAGCTTTTCATCTGATAAGAGGATTAATATTCAAAATTTATAAAAGAACTAAAAGAAAAAAATCTTAAGAAAACACGTATCTAGTCATAAAAAAAATGGGCAGATGACTTGAATAGACCTTTTCAAGAAAAGTACAAATGGCCCATAAATATCTGAGAAACACTTGTTAGATATAGTTATCAGTGAAATGCAAATCAAAACTACATTGAATTTTCATTTTGCCCCAGCTAGAATGGCTGTCTGTCTGTCTGTCTGTCTGTCTGTCTATGCATCTCTCTATGCTGGTGAGAATGTGGAGAAAAGGAATCCTTATAACCTGATGATGGGAAGGTAAATTAATACAGCCCTTAGGAGAACAGTGTGGAGGTTCCTCAAAAAATTGAAAATAGAGTTGCCTACCATGTAGTCAAGCTGTACTGTTCCAGGGTATATATCTGGAGGAAATGAAAGCATACCAAAAGATATTTGCTCACCCTTGTTTATTTCCAGTACTGTTTACAATAGCCAAAATATGGAATTAGCTGAAGTGCTTGTCAGCAGATGAATGGATAAAGAAAATATGGTGTACATATCCAATGGAGTATTACTGAACCATAAATAGGAATGTAATCCTGTCATTTGCAAGAAAATAGATGGTACTGGGGGATAACATGTCAAGTGAAATGAGCCAGTCACAGAAGGACATGTGTCTTATGTTTTCTCTCATGTGGTAACTTAAAAAAAAACATACTGATGATCTGAAAATAGAAGAGGGACTATTGGAGGACTTGACTAGGAAGTAGGGGGACAGGAAAAGGATAGAAAGAAGAGTAGGTATCATCAATGCATGATTTGTGTATGTTGTGGAAATGTCACAGTGAAACATAAATTTGCATAATTAATATGTTAATTATATTACACAATTATTTTGACTATTCTGGTTCTTTTATCTTTTGGTATACATTTTATTTTATTTATTTTTTTTTAATTTTTTTTTATTGGTTGTTAAAAACATTATAAGGCTCTTGACATATCATATTTCATACATTAGATTCAAGTTGGTTATGAACTCCCAATTTTACCCCAAATACAGATTGCAGAATCACATCGGTTACACATCCACATTTTTACATAATGCCCTATTAGTAACTGTTGTATTCTGCTACCTTTCCTATCCTCTACCATCCCCCCTCCCTCCCCTCCCATCTTCTCTCTCTACCCCATCCACTGTAATTCATATCTCTCCTTGTTTATTTTCCCATTCCCCTCACAACCTCTTATATGTAATTTTGTATAACAATGAGGGTCTCCCTCCATTACCATGCAATTTCCCTTTTCTCTCCCTTTCCATCCCACCTCATGTATCTGTTTAATGTTAATCTTTTCTTCCTGCTCTTCCTCCCTGCTCTGTTCTTAGTTGCTCTCATTATATCAAAGAAGACATTTGGTATTTGTTTTTTAGGGATTGGCTAGCTTCACTAAGCATAATCTGCTCTAGTGCCATCCATTTCCCTGCAAATTCTATGATTTTGTCATTTTTTAGTGCTGCGTAATACTCCATGGTGTATAAATGCCACATTTTTTTTATCCATTCATCTATTGAAGGGCATCTGGGTTGGTTCCACAGTCTAGCAATTGTGAATTGTGCTGCTATACACATCGATGTAGCAGTATTGGCATACATTTTAAAGCCCATTTGTCTATTGTCTACCTGTGTGTGCAAAAATTCCTTTGATTTTGATTGGAATTATCTTGAACATAAAGATTATTTCCAGATAATTGACATCTTAATTGTCTTGAATTTTCCAATCCATTAACATAATGGGTCTTCTTGTCATTTCTTTTGTCAGCGCTTTTATAGTTTTCAGCACAGAGATCCTGCATGTTTTGTTAATTTTTTTTGTAAATATTTGATTTTGGTACCATGATTGATAAAGAAAATATGGTATATATACCTGATGGAGTGTTATTCAATCATAAAGAAAAATATAATCCTGTCAATTTGCAAGAAAATAGATTGTATCCAAGGATACCATGTTAAGTGAAAATGCTCGCCAGCCACAATAGATCTGAGATATTTAGTCCATTTTTGGAGCCACTTGTTACTTTGATAAGCTTCCTTAATAATTCTAGGGCACAGCCTGATTATTTAAGAAATTATAAACTCGGAATGACTTTATAAGTTTTATTTTTTTTGCTGAAATGTCAAATATTAAATGATAAAAGATTTTCCTTTCTTTGCTTTTGCTTTTGCAGTCTGTGTACTTAAGTAGCTTCTTCACTACTAGTTAAATTTTCATAAGGCCTGATAATGGAAGCCTCAAACTGAAAAACCACACTAACGTCAAAGTCTAGTTCCTCCCTCATTTTGTAATTAAATAATGATATTGGCTAGTTTTATGAAAAACTTTATAATGTCATAATCATAAATTTTAACTGAAGAGATAATTTAATAACTGTTCTTTTCCTTTTTCCCATCAGGTATTGGGAGAGTTGCTGCTACATCTTTAGGAAATTTAACTAACCATGGGTCTGAAGATTTACCCCTTCCTCCTGGCTGGTCTGTGGACTGGACAATGAGAGGGAGAAAATATTATATCGATCATAATACAAACACAACTCATTGGAGCCATCCTCTTGAACGAGAAGGACTTCCTCCTGGATGGGAACGAGTTGAGTCATCAGAATTTGGAACTTATTATGTAGATCACACAAATAAAAAGGCTCAGTACAGACATCCTTGTGCTCCTAGGTAGAGTATCAATTTTATTTTCAACTTTTTGTTTTCAGATTGTCTTGTGTTAGATTTTGGACTTACAGTTTCATCAGAGGTAGGTATCCTGAAACTTGAGATTTAAGTCCTTATTTCTCAAAATTTGTGATAATTTTCTCTGAACTTATGTTTAGTGATGAATGACTTTAATAATTTTAAAAGTACTTTTTGTTTAAACAAGCTCAAAAAGAGGCTCAGTGTTCTTGTAATCAGATTGTTTTAATATGCCAGGATGTTTTTGTTAGATAGTCAGAAGTTGACATAAATAAGTAAAACATCTTTATAAATTCCTGTAAATAATTCATACCTACCTCTACCTCCTTAATCAAAATATTTTTGAATTTTATTCAATTTCAGACATGATTTTATGTAGTGTTGCTTACTGTTCCCAATTGAGAAAGTGAAAATTGAGACTGGACTAAATGTCTCAGATCTATTTAATCAATGTAGCTAATTATTCTATTTTGTCTGATACTGGGATTACCAGTCAATTGATTTGTTGCCACCGTTTTAGCCTTGTGCTAATACTGCAGCCAGTTATCACATGAGCACTTGAAATGTGATTGATCCAAATTGAGATGTGCTGTAAGTGTAAAATACACACTGGATTTCAAAGTACATATAAAGCTAGTAGTAGTTTAGTAATGAAGTGGCAAGTATTTCTCCTTAACTATATTTATAGAACTTCAAGAGCTGAGTCATAAGATTAAAAATGGGTAAAATGTCACCAGCATGTTGATAAATGTTACCTAGTATCATTTTGGATAATACAGGTTTTTGGTTATAGTACTACATTTGTGATTTTTTTTTAAGAATCCTTAAAATCATTATGAAAATATATTTTAGTGGTATCACAGAGAAGGCTAAACTTTATCATTGATTCAGCTTTGAAAATCTTTTTTTCCTGTGATTCTCTTTAGTGGCATTTGGTCGGTTTTTTGAATGACAGGTTGTTCTCCCTTCAAAAGAACCAAACCTGGGCTGGAGTTGTGGCTCAGTAGTAGAGCGCTTGCCTACTCAGCACCACATAAAAATAAATAAGTAATTAAAGTTATGTCCATCTACAACTGAAAAAATATATTTAAAAAAGAAAGGAAAAAAGAACCAAACCTGTCATTACCCTTTGCTATCACTAGGTTGCTGAGATATTTGTGGCCCAAATAACCACATTTGAGAGTCTACTTTTCTCTTCATCGGCATTATCCTTACAATATTATAGAATTTTTATGGTTGTCAAAGCATTTTCACAATTAATTAATTTGCTTCTTCCAGCATCTCTGAAGAAAATAGGAGGAAATAAACACTTCTTTCAGATCACATAAGTAGTAGTAATAGCAATTTGATTTCTTCTAAATCCTCAGTAGAGCTCTTGGTTGACATTAGCTCATTTAATCTGAGAATAATCATGTGTGGTATGAATTTATTATTTCACTTTTACAAATATAGTAAGCCGGAGCTTAGAGAAGTGAAGCAGTTTTGCCCACATTAATGACTCATAGTGGTCAAGCTGAAGTTTTAAAAACAAGTATATTTGACTTCAGAGCCTCAATTTTCTCTACTGCCAACTTGCAGTGTCAGTGAATGTTTCCCTTTGAACTTACTCATGAAAGAAAAGTTGAAGATAAATTTCAGTGCCATTTTGCACATTGTCTTTAAATTGTTAACCACAGTGTGGTGTCTTATTTTAATCCTGGTTTAGAAGCTATGACCCTTTCTGATATACACATAAATTTTTATGTTTGGAGGAAGACTTTTTAAGTCCATGATTTAAAATAGGTTCTAGTCAATTCTAACTCCTATTCCTTCTCTTAAATTGATATTGTATCTGTCCCTGCTATACTACATTTCCCAGTTCTTCCCCTTCCCTCTTTTCAATCAACTGGAGGAAGAAAATCATTTTTTATTTGTAGAGAAGCTATCAACTGTTTCAATATAAATTTACAACTAATTACAAGTTATTAGAGAAATGTATGATTCTAGTTTTAAACCTTTATGTAAAGGCTATAGTTTATCCAATTTTTTTGTAACCTCCTTTGACACTGTCCTTGAAAAGATTAAATACCAGCCAGAAGACATACCCTAAAACTAGCAACACTCCCAATTTTCAAAGGAAGATGGATTTTTCTTCCTCATGGTAAAGAAAAGTTAGTATGGTAAGAAAGCCATTCCTTGAAAGTAGTCAGTTTGGGCAAGAAGCACACTGAAATATGCAAAATTATTCTTTGTTCTTTATAATTTCTTGCTTAGTTTTAGGATTTGTATCTTAATGAATGTTAATTCTATTTTCTTAGTGTACCTCGGTATGATCAACCCCCTCCTGTCACTTACCAGCCACAGCAAACTGAAAGAAATCAGTCTCTTCTGGTACCTGCAAATCCTTATCATACTGCAGAAATTCCTGACTGGCTTCAGGTTTATGCACGAGCCCCTGTGAAGTAAGTGAATATATAGCACAGATTTTTTTAAAAACATTATTTTAGTTATAGATGGACACACAGTATCTTTGTTTATTTTATTAATGTGTTTTTTATGTGGTGCTGAGGCTTGAACACAGTGCCTCACATAAGCACTTTACCACTGAGCCCCAGTCTCCAGCAGAGATTTTTTTTTTTAGGGGGTCTCTGAGCTCTTTAACACAAGGAGTGCCATATTTTCTCTTAATAATATTGGGTCTATAAACATCATTTTATTTGAAGAAAGGATAGCAAGAGCTTACAAAACTTGAAAATCATTGATTAGAAATACTAGTTCTTCAAACATTTATTGAATCTTCACTTCTTTGTGTGAAGACTTCTATTAGGGATACAATAAGAAGCTTATGTTCTCATAGGAGATTAACTTGTAAAGTGATGCAGTACTTGTGATAAAAGTAAGGACCCAGGTAAGTGGTAAGTATATGGTTGAAACAAAGTAGGATATTCTGGGAGGTTACGATTTTTTGTTAGGAATTATTAATTTATTTCAAATAAATAAATAAAATCTTAAACTACATGAATAACAAAAGTTATAGGAGACAACTTATATGCAAGTGTCTTCATGTAGGCTAATTGAATATTTCTTGTAGTATCTCTCCAATTTATGTCCACAGGAGTTTCTGATTAAAGAGAACATAAAGTTTTCTATAAAGATATCATTATCTACTAGTAAATTTGCGTATCTCAATCAATTGAATAAAATTGGGAGGCCAAGAAAATATATTTACCTTGTGGTTTTCCATATTATGTTCTTGTTGTTCCTGATACACATACCTGAATTGGACAGAAACGTATTCCAAAGTGTCAAGCATAGGATGTGGCTCATACTACTCAGTATATGCTTCTTTTCACTTTTTAAAAAGCCTTATTATTTTTTTTAATTAGATAGACAATTCTTTTGGATTAAAATGGTAAATCAGTTATCAAAGAACCATTGGATAGGACATATTATAAATGGTTACTAAAAGCTGGGCATGGTGGTGCATGCTTGTAATCCCAGCAACTCTGGAGGCTGAGGCAGGAACATTACAAGTTCAAGGCCAGCCTCAGCAACTAAGTGAGGCCTTAAGCAACTTGGTGAGGCCCTGTCTTAAATAAAAAGGGCTAGGGGCATGGCTCAGTGGCAGAGTACTTCTAGGTCCAATCCTTAGTACCCGCCTCCCCCAAAAAAGTTACTAAAAATAAATTTTCTAGAAGTTGCAGTCAGAGCTTCCTGTTATGTCTATGCTACAATAGTTTGAGAGAAATAACTTTAATATCATATACCAATATGATATTATGTGACTTGCTTTAGTTTATGTTCTTTGTCTAATCTTAAAGGATATTAACATTTAAAACTACTACTCTAAAGCTTTTTGGTTTGTAGTTGTCTGCTTTTCTCAACTTTTTTGGACATTAAATGCTTTTGCAAAAGATAAAAAGCCTTTTTAGGTTTGTTTGTTTTTTCATCTTTAAAATGAGAACATTTAATTAGAGTGTTGTCTCTGGATCTCAAAGTATAGTAATTGGTTGCATAGTTCAATCTCAGCATATGATTCACCTGTATTGAAAAAGAGCTAAAGATACATGTAAATAAATCTTTCAAGAGTTCTTTACCGTATTGTGGAGTCTTCTACCTTCTACTTGTTTTCTCATTTTTGAAAACTGTTTATTCTTTCTTGAGTTTTTCAATAGTAGGTTTTGCATTGAATTCTTCAGGAATTCTTAGCTAATGATGGTTTCTCTTCATTCCTCCTGTGTTTGTTCCTTGTATGCTGTTGTGAACATAATTCCTCTACTAGATCTATTAACATTAGTAACAAACATGACTTTGCCCCTTTTTGTGCATTATCATTTGCAAGCACAGTGTGGTCTGAAATATCCTTAAGTTGCTGACAGTTAACTCTGAATAAACTTACAAATACCACAGAATGCATTTTTCAGAGAAAAATTACATAGCTATCTATTTGAAATTGATGTTCATGGTTTAATATTAGTATTAGAATAATGGATACTTAAATGAGCATTCTTTAACTTGAAATGAAATATTTTTCTCCCTTTCCTAAAAAATAGTTTATTTAGAGCTGGGTGTGGTGCATGCACCTGTAGTCCCAGCTACTCTGGATACTGAAGCGAAAGGATTGCTAGAGCTCAAGAGTTCAAGACCAACCTGGGCAACTTGTTGGAAACCTGACTCAAAAATAAAGAAAAAAAATATATTGTTTTTAAATAGGAAGTTGATAACTCATTTATCTTTATAAAGTTTATAGTTTGTTTAGTTATAATGTAGTTAATGTTTATAAAAGACTAGTTTATTGCAATAAATACATGTTTATGCACGTGTTGTGAATATTATGTTTTAAAACAGATATGACCACATTCTGAAATGGGAACTCTTCCAGCTGGCTGACCTGGATACATACCAGGGAATGCTAAAGTTGCTCTTCATGAAAGAACTGGAACAGATTGTTAAAATGTATGAAGCTTATAGACAGGCTCTTCTCACTGAGCTTGAAAACCGCAAGCAGAGACAGCAGTGGTATGCCCAGCAACATGGCAAGAATTTTTAAGTTAACCTTTTAAGAATAAAATTTAATTTTTATAAGGGCTTTAAAATATTTTCACAGTTGAAAAAACTGCAAACAAATACTTCGGTTAATAAAGGCAGCTTACTTTTGGGAAGTTCTAATTTTCATATATTTTGTTATTAGAAATTTTCTTTTATTGAACAAAAGAAATGAATTTATTATTTTAAGAGTCAACATGATATGCTTTCAAATATTGCATATTAGGAAATTGCTTTGAATAATCTTGATGGAGAAATATGCAGAAAAAAATGTTACCATCGGATATTTAAAAGGAAATGATCACTTGGTAACTCCTTATAGCAGCAGTATCTTTCTTTAAGAAAGAGAAACTATGCAGTATTTTAAAAAGATGTTTATTGCTTTAGTGTGGAATGTTGTCCGAGTTGGATGATTTAAATTTTACCATGGTATAGTTCAAAATATAAAATAAAATTTGGAATCTTTATTGTGATAAATTCTGTATATGGCCCCCCCACACATACACAGCTAAATGTAAGGAACCCTTTTGAAGCATGTTGAGAAAAATCTTTTCAGGAATAAATTTAAGCAAGAAGCTTTAGCCTGTGTGGGGAAGGTATGTGCATCCCTCAAAAGTTGCTACTTGGTTTCATCCAGAGCTCTTAATTGGATTTAGCATGGCTCTGATGAGACAGTGTAGGGTTCCAGACGGCATAGTGCACTGCCTTCTGACAGACTGGGTTAAGCTGCCAAAAATGACAATCAGGGATTCAATAAGAAATCTTAGTCATTAAACCAATTTTATATTACCTTTTTTATCTTCTAAGTGTTTGTTACAAAACTTTATATATTTCCCTCCTGGTTTAATAGTTAAGACATTGTTCATAATTAGCACAGTAATTTGATTATAGACAAATTTATGATACTTCTAGCCTGTAAATCTCTAGAATTCTGTGAATTTCATAGCTCTTTAGATACCTGTATTGTAAATATGTAAATATATTTTTAGTTTAGATAATCTTCCAAAATACAAGCACTCCTAGTTAGATATCAGTTTGAGTTATTGATAAAATGTTAAGTGTTTGATTTTATATAACAAGCTTATTAAATATATTTTTGTGGAAACTAAATGTGTGGTGTTTGAATCCATATTTTAGACATAAATATGATTGGTTTTTCCAATCAGAAGATCCATACTTCAAAGAAGCAATATAATGAAAGGTGTGTTGAAAAATTAAAAGTATGGCAAGTGGAATTTTTTTAATAAGAAAAGATAATTTACTGAGCTGTTATCAAATTTTTCCAATATGTAAGCTGATATATCTTATGAACTTATGCAACCTCCTATCTTAATTATTTCTTGTCACTTAGCCACTTATAAGACAAAGTCCGTTTGGACTTTGTAGATAAGAGCCATGAAGGATTCCTGGCTGCCCAACTTTGCAGGAATCCTAGCTGCTGCTCCCACGCAGGACACCCAGCCACTGCCCACGCACAGAACCTCCAGCTGCGACTCCTGTGTGGACCCCCATCTACCAACATGGGGCTCCCCCATCGCCTCTGTCTTGGGACACTGTAACCACTTCCATAGTCCCCTACATGCGGTAGCCTGTACCTGGGAACACCGAACAGGGTCTGGAGATAGCCGCCAACACTGAACACCACAAAGCTGCATCTCTGAACATGCAGCCTAACACCACTGCCAGGCCCCACCCAACCCAACACCCTAGCACTGAAAGCAGCTGCTTTCATCTTGGGACACCTTTGTCAACATCTTTAATTGGGGCAACTCCCAGCTTGGGACACCGGCAGGGGATTAGAAGCAAAATCAAGGTACTATAGTCCACAACTTCCTCCTCCTCCTGGCAGCAGCTAACCTAGCACAGTGCTTGCAGCTACATGGCTGTCTATAGCTCGAAAAACCTGGTCTTGAACAATACAAAACAGCTCTCTGCGACAGGTGCGCAGCCCTCAGCGCATAGCCCACAAGACCACCAGTGAGAAAGGTTCCTGATTGATTGGGAAATAGAAGGGGAGGAGGTGAGTGAGATACAGTTTAGATACTAAATTAGAGACCAGGAATTGTGAGATCTACAGGTGATATAACGAGATAAGACCAGGTGCCCACATCACACAAGCGGGCCCCAAAGGAGATCCTTGGGGTGCAGTCTCCCATTGGGGACTGGCAAGTGCTATATCCCAACCTTCAGGAGCGCAGCTCCCTAGACCAAACCTCCCACCCTAATGCTGACCTTCACCTGAGGGTGGAGATACCAGCAAACAACAAACAACCCCACCTATTGGATGAGAAGGGAAGCAGGAAAGACTGATCTCCAATAAAAACAAACTTGTATCTTCCTTCGAGGACTTTTTTTTCCCTCTTTCTCTTCTCCCACCTTCACATCCCCGACATTTGTGAAACCAAGTACTTTTCATGAATTAGGCTACTGAGGAATGAATAGTATATTATGGTTGTGCTGTATATTCTTTTATCTCCTATTTTTAAATATTTCATTTTTCTTAATTTTTGTATTTGTTTTCTGTACTTTATTGTCTTCTCACTTGTCTCCCCAAAATCACTTTTTTCTCCTACTACTAACCAACATCTTTAGATTCCACTTTCATACTTCCTAAGATCTAACAACTCTGTATCCTCACCTCCTACCCCCTCAACACCACACCCTACACATCACTCCCAGTTCTTTTTCCACCATCAGAAACTGTAGACCCTTTTGCAAACCTACTGTTTATATTGTAGATAATAATTGAACTCTCCATTTTTGTATATTGTGACAAAACCGTAAATGTTTTAATAGCAGCTATTTGGTTTAAGGCTACATATTGTTTGTATTAGAACCTGTTAATATTGTTCTCCCCCTTAAAGGACAGGGATTGGAACCCTGCAGGAACACTATATGCCTACAGGGTAAAAACAGTAACGCAGTGGATCTAAAAGGAAGACACATGAACAACATGAAAGAACAAGGGAAGAAAGTGCCCCAAACAAACCAAGATACCACATTATTAGAATTCATGGCCAGCACAACAGAAGAAATAACAGAGAAGTAGTTCAGAATATACATAATTAAAATGTTCTGTGAATTAAATGATGATATAAGAGCAAATACAGGCAGCAAAAGATCATTTCAATAAAGAGCTACATAAGCAAATAAAGAAGGCAAAGATTACTTCAATAAGGAGATAGAGGTTCTGAAAAAAAAAAACCAAACAGAAATCCTTGAAATAAAAGAAGCAAAGAACCAAATTAAAAACTCAATAGAAAGCACCATGAACAGATGAGATGGAAGATAACAGGACCTCAGACAATGAAGACAAAATATATAATCTTGAAAAGAATGTTGACCAAACATTAAAGATGGTGAGAAACCATGCGCAGAACATTCAAGAATTATGGGATAACATAAAAAGACCAAATTTAAGAATTATTGGGATAGAGGAAGGCACAGAGTCCCAAACCAAAGGATTGAACAATCAATCAATATCAGAAAATTTTCCAAACATGAGAATGAATTGAAAAATCAAATACACGAGGCTTACGGGTCATCAAATGTATAAAATCACAACAAGTCCACACTAAGGCACATTATAATGAAAATGCCTAGCATACAGAATAGGAGAGAATTTTAAAAGCCACAAGAGAAAGGAATCCTCTGCAGATTTCTCAACCCAGACCCTGAAAGCTAGAAGATACTGGAACAATATATACCAAGCCCTGAAAGCAAATTGATGCCAACCAAGAATCTTATATCCAGCAAAAGTAAACTTTAGGTTTGATGACAAAATGAAAACCTTCCATGATAAACAAGTTAAAAGAATTTACAACTAGAAAGACTGCACTACAGAATATCCTCAGCAAAATATTCCATGAGGAAATGAAAATCAGCAAAGGGAGGTATTACACTAAAGGAAAAACAAATCAAGGGAGAAACCAAGTCTAGGTAAATCCCGAATATAGGGAGGGGCTGGGGTTGTGGCTCAAGTGGTAGAGTGCTCGCCTAGCATATGTGAGGCACTGGGTTCGATCCTCAGCACCACATAAAAATGTTGTGTCCACCTAAAACTAAAAACTTAATGTTTAAAAAAAAATACAAAAATACCAGGTTTACAAATCATGTCTCAATAATAACCGTGAATGTTAATGGTCTAAGCTCATCAATCAAAAGAGACTGGCAGATTGGATAACAAAACAAAACAAAAACCCAACAATATGCTGCCCTCAAGAGACACACAGAAAAAGACATCCACAGACTGAAGGTGAAAGGTTGGGAAAAAATATGACTACTCACATGGGCTGCAGATACAAGCAGGAGTCCATCCTCATATCAAATAAAGTAGACTTCAAGCCAAAGTTAATCAAAAGGGATAAAGAATGACATTTCATACTGCTTAAGGGAACCATATATCAATAAGACATAACAATTAAAATATATATGCCCCAAACAATGGAGCATCTATGTTCATCAAACTCTTCTCAAGAGTCAAATAGACCACAACAAAATAATTCTGGATGACTTTAACATACCTCTTTCACCACTGGACAGTTCTTCTAAACAAAGAAACTGTAAAACTCAATAATACAATCAATAACTTAACAGACATATAGAATATTTCATCCATGAACGAGTGAATTCACTTTCTTCTCAGCAGCACATGGATTCTTCTCTAAAATAGACCATATATTATGCCACAGAGCAACTTTTAGCAAAAAAAAAAAAAAAAAAAAAAATTAGAGATACTACCCTGCATTCTGACAGATCACAATGGAATGAAATTAGAAATCAGTGATAAAATAGAAGCTAATCCATCACCTGCAGACTAACTAATATGCTACTAAATGAACAATGAGTTGCAAAAGACATCAAAAAGAAGACTTAAAAATTCTTAGAGGTAAAAGAGAACACTGATATAACATCAAAATCTCTGGGACACTATGAAGGCAATACTAAGAGGAAAGTTCATTGCATGGAGTTCATTCCTTAAAAGAAGAAAAAGTTGGGCTGGGGATGTGGCTCAAGCAGTAGCGTGCTTGCCTGGCATGTGGGGGGCGCTGGGTTCGATCCTCAGCATCACATAAAAATAAAAATGTTGTGTCCACCGAAAACTAAGAATTAAATATTAAAAAAAAATTCTCTCTCTCTCTAAAATAAATAAATAAATAAATAAAAATTTAAAAAAGGAAGAAAAAGTCAACAAACAAATGACCTAAAATTACACCTCAAAGCCCTGGAAAAAGAGAACAAATCAATACCCAAAGCAGCAGAAGACAAGAAATAATAATTAAAATCAGAACTGAAAGCAATGAAATTGAAACAAAAGAAACAACTGAAAAAAATGACAAAA